GAGACTGGAATAAATGCATGACGTTGCCACTTAATATTCATCACTGAATATGCAAGACCTAAGCGCATGGAATTATACATGAAAAATCTAATTAAAGAGCTCTACTTCTCCCATTGCCAGTGCAGACCTTGACTTTGTTCTCGCCCTGTCACATTCCTTTTTGGTATTCAAAGGAGGCAAACTGATGTTCACAGACCTGACATCAGCAATACAAGCGAGGGCTTACGAGCGCTAAACCATCAGAGAGGTAGATCAGTATGCGTGTGGGGAGGGTGGTTAAGGGGGGGGGGGGCGAAAAAAATAGTAAAACATAAAAAACTTTCACGCATAATATATGCCTCCAAATTTCCTCGAATTTCCAAACAGATTTACAACACGGACGTCGCCCGTGAAAATAAACGAATGCCACGGAGGTCAGCGGTTCCTAATCCGTGATCAGTGGAGCATTCGTTCGCGCTACGCTCGGCAAGGAAGGTGAACTGCTGCCACGACAACTTCGCGTCAGGGCCCTTCGCCACCCGCAGTGGGGGGCGGGGTTGGGGGTTCCTGCTGCCCGGTGCCCTGAATACTCCGCGACAGCCCCACGTGACAAGCGGCAGTAATTGCAATTCCCGAGCGCGGCGCATCGTCGCGTGGGAATATTTCTATGTTGTGCGTTCAGTCACTGTTCGTTTTTGTTAGTTGCTAAATTTGCAGTTTTTGATTATTATTACTACCTACATTTAGTCGCTCAGCTGTGTCAAAACAGCCCGTGGTTAGGCGGTGCTGAGGAACGTCTTTCTATGATGCCTTCAGGGGAACCTCTCCTCGCATTCCGTCGGCGAATGAGCCAGAGAGGTTGCACCGCAGCAACAACGCTCACTCGTTTACATAGCTTCTCTTCTTCATCACCAGGCAGAGGGTTCTTAATCTTGCACGACCAGTTTGCTACTTATACATTTTTAAAGTGTTTTCAATATACAAACCAGCACAGGGGCAGTGTCCATCTCTGTCAGTGGCACAGGGCCAGTGGTGGAAAAGGCACATTCCAATAGTTCCATAATACAACTATATTTCACCTCATACAAAACGGTTTCTCATTATTTTATGAACTCAAGAGAGACGACTTCCTGAGTCAATACCTGACTGGAATTTGAATTCGCAACCTTCCACCTCAGAATCAGAATATAATAAATATAGTTTTGGTGATATGTCCCGAACACCTGATCCTACACACTGTGTGTAACGTTGGGTAGGCTACGTGGATTTTCATACCATTGTTTAGTTTTTCGTGAAAGGTTTAAGAGTAATACATTTTCTCAAAATATATACCAGCGCCGCTTTTGATAAAACCCAAGTGCGCCCCTATTTTGGTATTTTATCTTTGCGTTTTGCACACCATTACAAATTAACAATGATTAATCTATTCAGTGAATTTGTGCCTTACAATTGTTTTTTTTGGACATCGATTAGAAATCTAAGTAAAGAAACAGTCACTTATAATTTCAATTTAGTGAACAATTTGTGGAAATTAGTGAACGCTGACCTCTCCTTCCGATCAATATTAAATAGTTTAACTTTTTTCAAATCCACATCAACTCAGAATCAAGTAATTTATTGTAAACGAGTGTAAATACATTTTGGTAAAAGCGACCTTTTGTTCACATTTAAAGCAAAAATGTGTGAAAATTAGTTAACAACGACTTGTCCTTCTGGGTTATAAGTAATACTATTTTTTTGTATTCACATCAATACAGAATCCAGTAAGAACAAAATTAATCTGAAGGACAACTTTTGGGAGATGATCGTCAATTTACACCAAATGTGATATGTAGATACATTTTTGATTAAATAAATTAAATAAATGGTGAGCAGACTAACCGCGTCTGCTCACCATTCATGCCCACCCTCCGACAGCATAAAGTAGACCTGGCTCAAATGCCACGTGCCAACATTTATTGCCATCCTCGGGTCACTGAATGAGGAAAGCCTGCTGTACATGTATTACGAGATCTATTTACCATGTGCAATTAATTCACTTACACCTCGCGGCACTTAATCGCTTGCACGCACTCTGTACTCCTCTTTCCTTGGCTACTTGACGTTGTGTGCCTCGGCCTTTATTAGCCATGGTTTTGTACAAGTAGGAGTGCTCTTCAAATAACAGTGCCTAAGTAGGACCGGTGGTTGACCCTGGGGTGGAACAGGAGCCCAGTGCATACAGTGACAATAATACACGAAACCAAAGCCAGTCATCGAGGCAATTTGATAGTTAAACCTCTCTATGAAAGATAAAATTGTTACCACTTTGTAGCTGCCCTGTGGAGAGACTCCCTTCACCATTGGAATGTCTGTTTACTTTAATAATTTTAATGAATTTATAATTTAAATTGTATTCTTACCAGGTAAGGTCCACTGAGCTATGTAGCTCTTTTTCAGAAGGGACCTGGCCACAAATTATAGCTCAACGATGTGGCTTATCGTGTGGAAATTTATAGCAGCCAAATACTCTAAATGCACATTTCTAAATGTGGAGGGAAAAACCGGAACCAAATGACTACAGGGAGAGAGACATGCAAACTCCAAATAGACAGGTGTAGAGGTCAGGATCGATCCCACGACCTATTGTATACCATGCGAAATTGTTAACATCTTGACACCTTTGCGTCCAACTTGAATTACTCGGTAAGAATTGATAAGCGCATGGACATAAACTCGGCAGTGTTTCTTTGAGCATGCAGACACTTTGAACACACGATTGCATACACTACGAACCAGTGACTGGGTATTGGGGCACTTGCTTGTGCTGTAGCACTTTGGCTGCAGTGTGGGATCACACAGATTATATCACTTGAATGAGGCTATGATGTGGATGGCAGATAGCATACCAGGAAGCAGGTTTCTTCCCTGTCCATGGATGTTTGAGCATTATTTCCTCATGTGCGAATGTTCTCTGGGTACTTCTGTTTTGTCCCATAGAAAAACATGTTCTCAAAGGAATTGATGGGGAAAAAAAACATCCCAATGCAAAGAGCTCGTGAAAGAGTGTCTTCAAATTCGAATAATTTTATCTGGATAAAGGACTATATTATTCATGAACGTTTGTGTATTCACATTGTGGCTATTTTGAATTTATAACATATACAAAGGCTTAACACCTGAATCATTTACCTGCAAAGGCAGCAATCAGTCTTGTAAGGCCAGGAGCATGATTGGTTATATTTTTATAATAGGTTCTTCCCCTTTTTTCTGGCAACAAAACAGGTGTTAAGATGTTAGAACACCAAACTGAAACCTTTCACAAGAAATCATGTCTGCATTAACCACAATGCAGGCGTCCCAAAAGACGCCTTTTGGCGTCCTTTGGTCTAACACCATTTGAGACGAGGCTTAAAAGAAAGCTGTCTCTGGTGTGGATCAATCAATTTCAAGGACAATGCATATATTATCAGAGTGTGTGTTTTTGTTTGCATTCTGACCACAAGTATTGTGGCTAATGCAGACATGATTCCTTGTGAAAGGTTTCAGTTTGGTGTTGTAACATCTTAACACCTGTTTTGTTGCCAGAAAAAATGGGGAAAACCTATTATCATATTTTGGTACTGGCAAAGGAGGGCCCATGATGGTTATATTTTGGTAGGAAAATAACTCTGTTAGGTACCTACTGACTCTAAAGTTGCATCTAAATTTTATATAGTAGTATCTACTGACTCTACAGTAGTATATCGTGACTCCATAGTAGTATCTACTGACTCTATAGTAGTATCTACAGACTATAATAGTATCTTCTGACTGTAATAGTAACTACAAACGCTATAGTAGTATCTGCTGACTCTATAGCAGTATCTGCTGGCTCGATAGCAGTATCTACTAACTCTATAGTAGTAACTACTGACTCTACAGTAGTATCTAATGACAATAGTAGTATCTACTAAGTCTACAGGAGTATCTACTGACTAGTAGTATCTACTCACTCTATAGTAGTATCTACTGACTCTATAATAGTAACTGCATACATTGGGGTGGGGGGGGGGCATCACACTGTTTAGTATTTACCTCAGAGTGTGCTTGTGCAGTAGTAACTGTGCTTGACTTTTTTTATTTTTGGCATTTTTAACGCGATGGAGAGCCTCCCTTCCATCGCAGCTCAGCAAGCTTGTTTGCATTTCTAGGGGCAACCGCGAGTCGGCGTCTCTGCGCATGTGCAGATGCGTGCTCTGACGATCGCTAGGATCAGCGAGTTTTTGTCCGGGGGGTGGGTGGAAGCTTAGTTTGTTGTATTTGTGTAGGATAGGCGTCACACACACACATAGACATACAGACACAATTTTATTTTTATACGTGTGAGAAGCACGCTTGTGAGGCCATGAAGTGGCCAAAAGATTGGGACCACAAAAAGCTAGGTGGCCGACTTCTCACGCCGATGTTGGCACTCACTCATTTCCTGTGATGTAAATTCCACATTTCTATGGCAGGGATGAGCTTATCCATACACGTTTGACTTTGCCACAAAGTAGTGGTACCCGTTTTAGCACTCCCCAAATGGATGATGGGCTGACTCAACCAGGGTTTGAACTCGCAACCTTCCGATTGCGAGCCTCTCCCTCTACTGCTGAGCCATAGAAGCTCACCCCCCCCCCCCCCCCAATGTGTGAGCCTTGTTAGCTCTAGGAAACTGCAGTAACTATTGTTATGTATGGGCAATTGTTACATTGCACATTTCATTTAATCATGTGGAAATTTATAACAGCCAAATACTCTAAACGCACATTTATAAATGTGGAGGGAAAATCCGGAAGACCCGGAGAAAAATTAATGTAACCACAGGGAGAGAGAGAGACATGCAAACTCAAAATATACGTGTGTCAGGGTCGGGATGAAACCTACGACCTGCTGTATAACAGGCGAAGTAGTTACCACCACGGCACCACCGAATTGAGCTGTCAAGCGGCAGGCGTGCTGACCCCTGGCACTTCCTAGCCACCCCCACCCCCCCTCACATGCACGGCAGCCCTTCCTACCTTGTCCTCTTTGGGCTCGACGGTGACCTTGCTGTCCCAGGCCCAGCTGCGCTTGGTGAAGTAGTTGACGGTGGCGAACTCGATGAGTGCCGAGAAGACGAAGGCGTTGCACACGGCGATGAACCAGTCCATGGCCGTCGCGTACGCCACCTTGGGCAGCGAGTTGCGTGCGCTGATGCTCAGTGTCGTCATGGTGAGCACGGTCGTCACACCTGCACCGTGGGCCGGCACGCTCCCGTTAACTCGCCGAGTCGGCGTCTCGCGCCTCCTAACCCGAGCGTCTTGCCGGCCGCGTACGCCAGCGGCAGTGGCCTGAGGGCCCTTGTGTGCACGCCGAAACGGCCAGCGCGAGGCCAACGAAGACGAGCATACCCTCGTCCATTGCCATGATACAGTCTTTTTTTTGGGGGGGGGGGGGGGTAGGTTGAGTCAATACGAATGCATCGTTGAACCCACCACTGCCGCCCAACACAGCCAATTAGTAAAATTAGTCGTGTAAACAAAACGTGCCGACTGCGAGCCACTCCCTCACTGCTGACGCACCAGCCGCAGTAATGAGAAATCTCATAAATAAAAGTGCAAATTCGTATTGGTCACGTGACAAACCTTACTAATTGTCGATCTAACCCAAAAACACCTTTACTATGGATACTATTGGTCGTGAAAGCCTACTACGTATTAAACGCATCCATCCCCACTCCGTTTTATGGGCCACGAAACCCAATTCTCCCAAAGGGTGTTGTGAAGGTTCACCGAGGCTTTGCAGAAGTAAGATTTCCAGTAAATGATAGTAAATCACAGGAGCGTATTGCAATTGTGAGGCTTTGTTTGGATTAAAAGGATTCCTATGATTTGAAAATTTCCAGGTCCATGAAATTAATTAAACTCTTCACTTTGGTGATTTGTCCACTTGTCGGGAATGTGATATCGGCACATTTTTCACAAGAAAGAAGATGGACGAAAATGAACTTGCATAAAAAAAACGTGGCCATAAATGTCTATTGGAATAAGACAATGACAAATGTTAGTATCGTATTACCATATGTAGTTATGGGTAATTTTGCTCAGTCAATAACGTGTTGGCCCACTAAACTGTCACATAATTTCCCACACTTGTAAACTATGTAACATATGCTTTTTTCTTGTTATATTTTTCTTGATTAATAATCTCACGAATCATATATAACTTTGGCACATGAGTCATGTCATGAGGTAAATTAATGTTCTTCCCTAGCTCTTTAGTTAGCAGAACAGATCTTGTCACAAAATAGTTCAGAGCTACATCTGAAGTTGCATCAATAAGACCCCAATTGCCACACCTGGGCCGGAGTTAATTCACACGCTGTAGAGCACGGTTTCCACATGCTGCTCATTTGAAATTCGGTATCTGTAAATATTACCACTCGAGTGGTGGGCCAGACCGAAGTAAGCGAACAAATAACGTGTGCTGGTTCTTACGCCATCTGTGGTGACCCGGCTGAAACTATCAACACGTAATGCTCAATAAGTTATTCCCTCAATGGGAGTAGTGATTTTTCACCAGTAGCACTTGCTCAGTGCTGTGACATACGTAAGCCACCGTGGACCCAAACAGCGAACACAAGTGACAATATTTCTAAATGTTCCATTTGCAGAGCGTGAAATTGCTCAGTAAAGTTAGATTTAAATTGTGAGGCAACTGAAGTAGCGCTGCGCGAGCCACTTGCCGCATTATTCATCCACAGTGTGACGCGCCATCCACTGCACTCATTTACAAATTGGCAGGCATGCAGAACTGTTCTCTGTTTGGAGGAAGAGGGAGGCATATCAATGCTGGGAGAGTTAAAATAAAATTTCATAGATAATCCATGACTGAACTGTGAAAACCTGTGACCGTCAACGTGTGATATTTGCAATTACCATGGAAAACAATCGTACCTTAAGAAAATAAATAATTATTGAACAAGAGACTTTCCAGCCGGGTGGCTTTGTGGCAGAGTGAACACAGGCAATCATAAAGTTGTGGATTCATGTGTCGGTCGAGAAACCAACTCAGCCCATCATTCCTACAGATATAATCAAATTAAAATCACTTTTTGGAACGTCAACATTGGCAACGTTTGGGTGAGACTATTTTCTCTGACACAAGGATGAGGAATTTATACCTCCGGCCCAGGGCTGCCAACAAAGCGTGAATCCCTTCCTTGGTTCATTCGATCGTTTGGGGGAGGCGATTGCCTTGATTAAGTTTACGTCTCGTCACACACACACACAATAGGGCTGTTGCACACACAGACCCATCTAAATGCGTTGCTTGAATCTCCTGGGTTCTCGACTTTAAGTCTGCGAGGGTTGAATGCAATTTAAAACATTGAAAGCAAAATGCCCTCGCAGCATCTGACATCGCGCTGACTCCCACGGGTATGGTGTGCCTTGCAAAGGTGCGATGTAACGAGGAAAGGAAAGCGGATATCATTTTTTGGCACTCACCACCTCCCACTTGGTTCAAGCCTTTGAATTACACGTTGCCTCCAACCCACAACTCATTGTGGATTATTCTCGACATCTGCTTGCAGCATCAAACCGTGCTACACCGAAGAGGATCTATGCCACAAATGTGACGGGAGGTGGAGGAAACAACTGCGCTCCTCAAAAATGCACGGTGCGGCGGCGGCAGCAGCAGCGATGTCTGTCTCTAGCTCCTCGATCTCACCGCAGCAGGCTTGAAGGGGCGCCTGCTATTTTAGCTGCGTCACTGAGGAAATGTGCAATGTTAACTTTTCATCACAAGGTGGACCCAGCGAATGGCGATTAGACGACAGTGCGGGAGAGATGTTGAGCTCTCTACGCTGCCAGATCCTCGAGCTTAATGCAAGCGTCATGATAACCAATACCTGTTAGTCATATTTTTACGCATCACCTATATATAAATTAGTTATGCGAAGCAAGAGGTGTGTATATTGAGGGTAGTGGCTAATATTGTCGACAATTAAATTTAAATCGCAAATCTCTATGCTTAAGGAACGTTGTACATTTAGTGCCTTAACGCTTCTGTGACAAAAACGGACATTGTGATACAAAGGTACAATAATATGACCACTGAACGTAGCCACCATTTAATCCCAACCCAAATGTACTGTTGCAAATAATAAATCTGTCCACAATTAATTAATTAATCACGGACAGATTGATTATTCATTAATCATGGACAGATTGATTATTTGCAACAGATTGGTTCTATAAAAAAGAACAAAGACTTTATTCACATTCTAAGAGGGTTTTTTTGCATGCCATGCTCACACGAGTGTTGTGCTGTCGTGGAAATTTAACAACGGCTGAATGAGCATTGGGTAGTGTCTATCTTATTTGGCAGGCGGGGGCCAGGAATAGAAATTCCACATTCCCATGGCAGCTGCCCATGTCTCAATATTACCACCTGTGTTTAACTTGTTGTCCTTTCCCGCACCTCTGATGAGCACGGTTGGCTCCGTTCGGTGCGAAAAGAAGGTCAACAGACATATATACACACAATACCATAACCACTGCTGAACTCACACAAAGTAGTTTTTAATTTATAGATACCAGATAGGTGATGGGTCGGGAAAAATATTTTGATTGCAAGAGGAGTGTTCTGCCGCAAGATAACCCAGCAGAATATCAATATATACGCAGCATAAAATATGGTACTCTAAAAAAATGCAGTTCCGGTGTCTGTTCAAAAATGCCATGGAATGCATACCACTCTGATACAAGCAGTGTACTGGTACGATATAGTGTACCAGCTAGAGTCATGGGAAATATAGCAGAATGAGGGTACCCACCAAACACTGTCCGTGCAGGGACTGACTCTCTGTTGAGCCAAAAGGACACCTGGGACAAGATGACCGTCATGATGCAGGGCAGATACGTCTGGATGACAAAGTAGCCGATCTTCCTCTTCAGGTGGAAGTATATGGTCATCACCGCATATTCTCCTGCATGGGAATGAATATACAGATTGTAAACAGAAACATCTCATGAGAAGTGTTTGGGTTATCAAGGTGTATAGTCGCGCTCGTTACACACAAAGTGCTCGCCACAAATGAACCAAAATACCTTGCTGATCTCGTCAAGCAGCATAAACTATCATCACGCGAACGCCGGTCATCCTCGCAGAAGCTTTTGGCTAGCCATCGAATGAAGGCAGGCACTGCATCTCGTGCTTTCAGATGCACTTCTGCAGCCGTCTGGAACACTCTTCCTTCCGATATTAGGAAGCCACTGGAGCTATGCACTTTTTAACTTGGTTTGAAAATTAATTTATTTAGAACTGCTTATTGTGTTTAATTTGGTGTCCTACTCTCCTACACCTCCAATAAGCGTGGTTGGCTATGTACGGTGTGAAATAACTTCAACATACATACAGGTGACCCCTGACGGCTCGACTTGTGACCCCCTGCTTTTACGACCTTTCTTATAGTAAGACCCTCCCCCCCCCCCCCACAGTAACGACCAAAACGCCAATGCTACCGACAGTGAGTCGATTGGCGACGAGTATGCACCTCTATGCGCACACTCGTCACCAGATGGCGCTGCTTACAGCACACCGGTATTTTGGAGAGTAAATCCACAACATTTACAATCCGAGTACGATGTTTTGCCAATAATTACAACCAGAATCATCAGGCAACAGCCAGGTTTGTGACAGCCAGAATAGGGACTTCTACATTGACATTCATACATTATTAAGAGTTGTCAACATGTCACTTATGTTATATTATTACGTATACACCTAAAACGTTGTACGCCATTGCAGATTATTTTTTAACACAGTGACTTGTAAATCTAAGAAATCAACATAGGCTTAGAATATTACACGGAGAGATTTTCATAATACAAATTTTACATTTCTACAGTGAATCATGAGTCAACACACGAACAACTGTGAATGGATTTTTAATTTAAAGCTTTCGTGACTGCAGGGATTCATCTTCTTGGTTATTTCGGTAAAGTCACGTAGAAGGGAAGTAATAAAATAATAAAAATAAAACATAATAAAATAATCTCCCGATAGACCTGGTTTTCACCTGAGGACGGCTGTTTGCGTTGTGGCCGAAACGTCATGAGAATTATTTTATTATGTTTTATTTTTATTTTATTACTTCCCTTCTACCTGACTTTACCGAAAGAACCAAGAAGATGAACTGTGAATGGATTAATACGGTGCAAATCGACGTGAACACTTTAAAATGAATGCATAGGCTTTTGTCAATAGCTTCACAATAATCAATTTACAAAGTGTCAAATGCACTGAAAATGGTGGTCAGTGGTTTAATGCAGTGTTGTTTATTGTGTACTGACCGAGGCAATAGACCACTTATCTCACATAAGCGTACATGTGAATGGACAGTCAGCAAGTCAATTAAGACCTCTGATTGGTGCAGGGAGTTCTCAAATAAGATTCGTTAGGATAAGAGTTTCAAAGGGATTGGAGGAGAGATTCAAACATAAAAGCGGGAAATGAACCGTTGGAGGAGGAGCACGAGGATTGGCTGAAGGAAATGGGGTCAGTAAATCTTCTAGAAAGGGGGGCTCGGAGGATATAAAAGGGGACAGCACAAGGAAAGTGGACAGTTGGAGAGAAGACGAAGTTCAAGCCTCGAAAACAAAGCCCGAGACTAGAAATAGAGTTGTGTCCGAATAAAGCCTCTTAAAGCAAAAACACGTGTCGGCATCACTATAACTGGTGTCAGAAGAGTAGAGTCTCTGAAATATGTTGAGCACAAGCCAATGAAAAACCCACCGGTGACGTCCAACGACGAGGAGGTCTTCATCTAGAATGCCCCCGGGTAAAGAGGACCCAGAAATCAACCTCGGGGATGTGAGAGAGGCTGTGGCGGTGCTGGTGGTGATAAAAAAGGGGCAATCGCAGCAACTGGAATGCCCATTCACCCAAGCACCACTGATAGCCGAAGGATGGGAGCAGCTGCAAGGATTGATAGACCTCCTCACAGACACGGTCGCCCGGCTCGTGCTGCAGCTCGCCGAGAAGGAGGGGAGGCCAGGAAATGCGAAACCAGCAGTCGGAACAAGCCGACAGCAGTGGGAACCGAAGAACCAGAAATGCTCGGTGCAGCCACGGCGACGACAGCAATGGTCGGGGCACCATCACAGGAGGCGGTTCCCACGGCGCATGAGAGAGTGGTTGAAAAACCTCGCCGGTTGGGGCTGGTAAAGGAGTTTGTGGCAGCAGTAGGCGACTGGGGAGCTTTCATCAGACGGTTTCAGGCCATGCACCAAGCTTTGGACTGGTCTGAAGAAGAGGCACTAAAGGGACTACCAACGGCCTTAAGCGACGAAGCCCTCGCCATCTTCAAGGTCATACCAGCAGAGCGAAGGGCCAGGCTGCAAGCAACATGCCGCGAGATGGCTAAAGTGTTGGACCCACCGTCCAACGCGAAGAGGAAGTTCCATTAGCACAAGCAAGAGGAAGCAGATTCGCCGCTCGCCAACCGCAGCGCTCAGCTGGATGAAGCGGCACTGGACTCACTCGTGATCGAGAGAATGCTTGCCCTGGTTCATGAGATGGGCATTGTACTGCCCATAGTTGAGGAGGAAGCACAGATCTCCTTGTGGGTAGCTCGGTATCTGCGTGCACAAGAATTAATGATCCGGCGGATCCAAGTAGTGGCATGTATAGAAGAGGTCCTGGGGAGTGGCGCCTGCAACGCCTGCCTGACATCAGCGGGGCCACGCCCATCACGACAGCAGTCAGAGGTAGTGGAAGCAGTGGAAGTGGCGCCCCATGATGGGCGGACATGGCCCAGAGGGTCGACTCAACAACGGGCTCGAGGATGGGGACCAAGAGGGTAGGTGGCGACTCCACGGTGGGGCCCGCCCATTACCTGCCATTGCTGCGGCCAGCCCAGACACATTAAGTGCGGGTGCAGAAGCGACCAACTGCCATCAGCGCTGACAGGGTCCACCTCCTCATTGGGAGCCATGGCTCAACAACATCAGGCGACTCCTGAAACCCCAGACACCCAGCTGGATAGCTCACCCCATGCATATAGAAACTCACTGCCTCTCACCACCTCCATCGCCATCCCGTATGTACCATCTAATTCTACAAGCGTCGGGAATAACGAGGTCAGGACATCCCCTAAAGAGGGTTGGGACTCGCTTCTCCACAGGTGGCCCGAGTTGGGCAACCAGTGGAAGAAGATGGCTCGGAAGGTCATAGCGGCAGCCACAGGGACCTCGGTTATGATAGGTTCAGTGGGAGGAGTGGAGGTCCGCATTTTAATTGATACGGGGTGGCATCGGCAACTATTATTTCCAACTGATTTGCTACCGTCCAGTGGCCATTGTTTAACGCCGGTCACCAGTACGTATGTGGCAGCAAATGGTGGTACCATGGAGATAGTGGGGCAAATCGATGTGCAAGTGCAAATTGGGGAGCCTGCCTTGTCAGGGCCCATATTTGTTTCCAGCCGTTAGCTGTTCCATGCCTGCTGGGAACCGATTTCTCAAATAAATTGCCTCTCTGGATACTCACTGATCAGTGTTGCATATAAATGCCATCAGAAGTTCACATTTTTTCCTGCAACCGGTGGGCCAGGCCATAGTATGCAACTAGGGTTTGTGTAAGCACTGGTCAGTGAGTCCATGACTGTACCTCGAGGCATGCAGATGCTGGTATCCTTAAGATACCGCAAACAACTAGTGACGAAGTGGGTTGGCCGATTGTGGCCTCCCTGTCGAAGGCAATGACCCGCAGGTTGAATGGTATGCTGTTGTGTGACTTTTTCACCTCTGAAAGTGCCATCAGCTATGCGATGAGTAAACTCTCAAAATATGTGCCTTGGTTTGAATGGATCCTTTCCGGGAATCCGTAAATACAAAACACGATCCCACAATTTCCGAGCCATCTGTTTCGCCATCTGGTTAATTCAGGGGAAGGCATGGTCCTTTTTCGTTAAATGGTCTGTCACCACCAAGACAACAATTGAGTGGTGTCGCCGGTCTTCCACACACCAGAAATCCATGCAGACTAATTCCATTGGAGCCGTCATCTTCATGCTTTCCAGTGGCGCCCGTGTTGCTGGTTCAGGGGTATTTTCCACAAGGTACCACCTACAACAATTGACTTACTCCCCGATGTCTGCCTCCATTCCTGGCCAAATGAACTGCTGCCTTGCCAGACACAAAGTTATCTCTCGTCCCTAGTGAGCCGCCAAGTCATGTATCTCAGCTAGTGCTTTCACTCGTGGAGATACTGGCAATACAAACTGTATCTTCCTTCGTCCGGATTGTTGATCCTTCACGACTATGTACACTATCCCATCTCGCAATTCGAGTGGTTCCAATTGTTTTAGGAGTTGACAAACGCCAGGACTCTCGCCGTCTCTCTCCCGCCTAAATGGCAACTGCTTCCAATTCAGATATGACAACACCCTCCTGCTGCTGACTGACTGCTCCTCAGTTCCCCTAAACACAATGTTTACAGCATATACTGTCCAGGCGGTACCATTGACTGCTCATTTTGCGCTAGAGTCAGTGCTCTTGACTTGGCTGCCTCTTTCCAACCCAACTGGGACTCAAACATTGCTTTGACTTGGGCTGTGTCACAAACATGCTGATGCATACTCTCCTTCAGTTACGGGGCTTAACTGTAGCAACCCTTGTTACCTGGTTGATGTTGACTTATCCACCGGAATGCTTCCTGCACATTCACATCACCAACCCACGCTGCCTCCATAGCCAGATTATGGTAGGGCTCACAAAGCAACTGCCTATTCAATTTTCCCACAAACGGGTCTCTGCTGAGCGCATCTGCCACGACATTTTCCCGACCTGCAATATGCTTAGCAATCCATCTCTGCTCATAAGCATTCAGATTAGGCTTCATGAGAACATAAGTCAGTGGGTTGCTGTCCATCCACAGTGAACTTGTGACCCTTTAGCTATTAAAACTGAACTTGTCACAAACACT